TTACTTATCTTTACAACAGCTTTGCCCTTCGACTTCTTGTAATACAACTGTTCTATGTTTACAGGTGCATCATTCGTGGTTGTTCTGCTGATATAATCCTTGACACAAGCTAGCAATGTATCGTAAGTCCATCTTCTGGGCAGTACAAATGGGGTACACTCGGCACCGTCAACGCGACCATTTTTTGTAGAAAGATAAAGTGCAACTTCACGCTGAAAGGAATTTAGAACGATTCTCACTTATCCTACCACTTCGAGAGGCTAAATCGACGTGCATAAAATTTGAATAGATTTCATTTAGTTTTCCTTTGTTCTATGTGTTAGGGGACTAAGTAACTTCCAAATAAGAAGATGAGCAAAAGATAAACAAAAGAATTGTGCAAAAACGTGAGTTTTTTTTGGAGAATCGAGAGATATGAAACTGTCTACATCGGTCACTACGAGAAAACACCGCGTGGGTTTTCACAAAGAAATATTTGCTCTAGAAACTTACTTGTTCGTCTTCTTTGTCAATGATCTGTGTCTCYTCCCAATCTGGAAGGTTGGGTGCYGGTATGACCTCTTCGCTTTCCATTGTGCAGGTATCAATATCGAAAGCAAAATCGTGAAGAAATTTTTGAAAGGACGACATTTCGCACATTTAGTGGAAACGACTGAAACGAAGCTAGATATAAAGCGCGCCAAAATTAGAACGTGTTGATTACTATGGAAACGGAATGATTGACGTCCATCAAAACCTTGTTTTGGTTTTGAAAGATTTTACTAAAACGCGCGTGTACCTGAAAACGAGTGTAAGATAATTCATTTTCATCTGCATTTCAACACTCTAAAAAGGTACATGCCTCCATTTTTCTTGTTGAATGAGATCTATATCCTCCACATATCTTTGTAGTCCCAGCTTAATATTGTGAGGTTTATCAGGCGCCACAAAAAGTGAGAAGACTACAGTATTTTTGGTTGAATTTGGATTATTTGTATTCGCCAGCTCAAAAGCCATTTTAAAACTTCCACCTTAAAAATAATCAAGACAAATCATAATATACAGTCCTTTATAATTTTATGATATTTTTAAAGGTTTTTAGCACTGTAATTGCAGGTATTTCTCATATATATGAGTAGCAATTTCAAATAGATTTCATATTTATCATCGTTTATCATTTCACAATTCAACCAGTCATCCCAAAAATTACTAAATAACTTATCAGTTTTTTTTTCTGGAAGTAAACATCTTCTTTATGAATTAAAACAATGACATAGCATGTTTTTTTATTAAATGTTATTCCAATTTATTGAAGTTCAGATAAATATGTCCAGATATGTGTGCATCGGTTAAGCATTGACCATTCACTTTTAAAAGTGTTATGTCTTGCTGGCTCTTGTAAACTGTCTTCTTGTACTGTGTCATCAGGTCTTAATTTAAATTTGACGGCAATTAAATGCTGATCAACATACTAATGAATAGATTAATTCATTTACTTTCCATAAGTGCGAAGAGTCTGAGAAAAAATCTATTGTATTAGTTTGACTGATATAAATTTTATATAACAAAGACTTAAAACTTAAAACACATGTCCTTTACCTCCTTTATCCCCACCCAGCTTCAACCAAATTTGATCTGAGGGAATCAAGTTGTCATGCCATGCCAACCTATGAAAACTGCAAAGCAACATACTGTGTATTATTTCAATTTTGTAGATTGCGTTACTAGCACTATTTATTGATATTACTTGTGATTCTTTTCAAGGTGACCATGAACCATCGCTCTCAAGTTAGTTACTTGAGCACAAGGCGCCAGACGAATTTCATTCGCTTGACYAGCCTTGGAAAAAACAAAGGGCATAGCCTCACAGTGCACCTAGTAAAAGAAAGAAAGATAGTGTATTAATTACATGTTTATGTGTACATATTTTGATTTTGATGTTTGTATTGCCAAATGCCCATGGTTATGTTTATATAAAAGAAAGAAAACCCTTTTTTTTAAATGTACTAACTTCATCAATCTTTTGACTTTGGGCAAGTAATCTTTGCTTCTTCTCACTAGAGAGTTGTACACCAAAGCTCGATAGCCACCTGTTAATGATTATTATAAAATGTTAACAATATTTATTTAAT